GGCGATATGAATCGTCGCGGTATACGCAAAACCGTAGAGCCGCTGAGAAGCTAACATATGAATCGGGCGATGAAGTTGATCAACTGGATAGCTACCGCAAACGGCAATATCAGAGGTATTTGCAGGAGCAGCAAGAATCATGGTACGTGCGGATAATTACGACTATCGTAACCACAATCACCAGCGCGTGGACATCTTTAACTGGTGCTGGTAGCGACGGAAGAAGCGGTGCTTTAGGCTATGACAATTCCTCTTTGTATAGAACTAAGTATGGACAGGTGGAGCGAGGTGAGTGCCAATAGAGCGCAAGTTGAATGCTTTTGCCATTAAAAGAAGACACCTACTAAATAAAAATATACAACATATTGCATACCCTCTTCAAAGAGGCATAACTCAAAAATCAGATCCGAAAATATACATAAATAACTGCTTGTGGATCGCACAGTTTCAACGCAATTAATACAAAACAGTAGTTTTTTAGTTAGAGAATTTAGCCATTTATGCAAAAAAATCGACCTAAATTGTTTTGGAGTTGTGCCTCTTTTGAAGAGGGTGTAAGATATGCATATTTTATGTACGAGGTTGTTTGAAATTTTTGCAATTTCTTATCTCACTATAGGTTTTTTCGGCTCTATTACACACGCCATATCATCATCCATATCTCGGTTATTTCGTTATATATATCTAATAATTTCATCTGTATTGTGTTTGGATACTTGGCTACTACAATCATCGAACGCCGATGGCAGAGGAAAAAAACGTTTTCTATTGCTTTTGTTAATCTTGTTGCCATTGTTGCTGTTGGGTGGTGAGTATTAAAACGTTATATGAATGTTGTAATATGTCAATGGACTGCGTGAAAACAAAAAAAAAAAAACAAAAAAACATTTATGTAGGCGGGAATGAATTAGTGTATGGATAAAGCGAGGCATGACACGCGTAGTCTCAGCCCCTGACATTGAATACTTATCGAAAATGTAATAAATTGTCAGACTAGTTGACCTTGAAGCGTTGTGAGCGTTTGTCAATAAGCCGCTAGTGACAGTGAATTTGAAAATTGTTATTGAATTGTTGATGCTGCTAGGCATCAGATATACTTGGTGTGTTGTACTCATCTATCCATGTGTATATAAACATTTAGATTTTTGTGGTTCGCCATGTCGCTGTCTATATTCACCTTGTAGGTGCGCGCGTCACGTGTGGAAAAATTCATGAACACAGGCAAACGTAGAGAGTACGATGTGAATGTACTTATTTGCTCGTTCAAATGCTGCTTTTATTTAAAGCGCATAAATTTGAATATATTACGTATATATATAGCTACTGAGATATTTACTCAATATTATTTCTTAATTTTTTTCTTTTTGTAATTTTTGCAAAGTATAAACTATGATTAGAGGCCTTTTTTATTGAATTCAAAAAATTTTCAATAGGTTGTAGAACTTTTGGGTATTCATTATATATGCGTATTTATTTACATCGCCATCATCAATGCTGAAGGTTTTTTTTTTT